GCAGGAAGCCTACTGGACATGTGTAATGTGTCCTTCTGTATTCAGAGGGAAGGCACTTCAGGGAGACGTGATGTGAAATACCGAAGTGCTGTGCAAGGGCAGCCAGATCCTTGCTCGAAATGGCCAGCTTTGCTGAAGGAGAACTTGCAGGGGCATAAATAAATCCCGCAGCTTTACAACTTTTCTTGCTGACCTTATGATGCGCAAAATATGTGTGACCTTTGTTGCTATTTGAATCCTGGCTCCTTTTGTGAAAAATTTCAGCTGTGTTTTAACCCCTTGTGCTTGGAACTGGTAACAGGCTTTTAAAAAAAGGTTTTGTCTCATACACTTGCCTCATACCTGCAACTTAATGTGCATGGTAAACTTCATGCACACAGGATGTGGAGCTGAAATGCGGATAGAATTACTCAATGAATTTTTTGCCCACTCCAGTACTGTTTAAAGTTTACAGTAGTGTATTTGAGATCAGAGTCTGACTGTAAGTGCCTAGTAAAATATTGTTACTTTCTTATCAAGTAGGATACCAGGAGGATTTAAGCTTAAAAAAAAAAAAAATTTTTTTGTAAGTTGTGATATATTCAAGCTTTTCTTTCTCAGAGTGTCTGTGAAAACATTTACTAATGCTATTTGGAGTTGTTGCAAAGCAAAATCCCAAGCTGCCTGTGTCCAAATAGTTATAGTTAGTTTTTTTTAGGTAGTGACTTGCTCATAAATGTTGTTAAGTTGATTACAAGATATCTAGGCTCTCTAAGTCCACTGCATTGTTTGTGGAAAGCTTGATGGTAGTAATATTTCAGCGCTGGGAAAGCCAACGTCAAAAGCTGCAGTGCCAAGAAGTGAATTCCTTTCAAGGAGACCTCCTGGGAGCTCCTGACTTCATCCACTCCAGCAATTCAACGCCGTGGCACCAAAGCATGGCATTACATTTCCCTTAAGTACTCAGGTGTTTCTCTCCTTTCCCAACAAAATCACATAGTGCTCCCTTCTAAGCTAGTACTGGCTTACATGGAAAAATATTAACCTTCATACTTCTCGTGTGTGAAATTGAAGGGGAATTTGCAAAGAAATAGCTGGAAGAGGGAAAGCTTGCTGGAAGTGGGAAAACAAGCAGGCTATTCTGCTTGGTTACTCATTCACAGATCTTTCAGGATGAAATTTTTTTAATACTGACCACATTGTGGATTGCCATTCTTTTTGGAATATCTTTTAACGTTATAATTAATTGCTGAGAAAGGCCTGAGTTAGATGGAACAGCTTGACAGCTGATACAGAAGCAATCAAGGTCTCAGGTCTGCTTCACCATCTTGCCTGTACCTTGCCCGCATACAGTATTTGTGCTGTGTGAAGTGTCTGAGATCACTTTCGCTGTTGGGTTTGCTTTAGAAGATGCCAAGAGCCAAGTGGATGAGTTTTGTTATTTCCTGGGTGTACAAGTATCTTGTGGCCATTCCAGTTTCAGAGACGTAGCTGTCAGCATGAGTGGAAGATTAATGATAGTGGTGTGGCAGTGATGCGAAAACTGTGGGTGAAGCAGGCTTTCTGGATGGAGATGATCTGTTCTGGTCACTACTCACTGCTGCTATCTTAAAAATCAATTCAACCTTTGTGGAAAATGTTTTGTAGTCCAGGCAGGGAGACATTCTTGTCCTAGTAATCACTGAGATAGACTTCCAAATACTCATGGTTCATGCATTATCCACACTAGTTACTTAAAAATAATGAAAGCTCACCTTCTTTTGAGGCTTTGATAGAGCTACATCCATCCATGGGTTGCCTTAGTCAAATAGAAATCCCAGAGTTTGATACCGTGACAGTGTGTGGAAGAGGGGAACAAGGAGAATCCAGCAAATATGGTTTCAGTCTAAGTGATGGGAGACCTGTGGTTTGATTTATTTGCTTTTTTTGCAGATTGCCTGGGACAGATTTCCTAGTGCTGGTTTCAAAGTATCGACTTCAGACAACCCCAGGTAGTACGGCTTAGGATAAGTCAGAGAACTGGTGCTAGGCATCTGAGCTTCCCGCACAGTCAGGAAAGAAGGGGTGCCTTCAAAGGCTGCATTAGTGTTCCTGTGCTCAGAGTTAGGGGCTGCCTGGGGCTAGCTGGGACATCCTAAGCACAAGGATTTGTGAATGCTTCTTTCTTCTTAGAGTTGAGGTGTTGGATTTAAGTCTGTCCACTGGGGCATCTCTGTCCACTCAGGATCTACCCTCCCTTGAAAGTAAGCCCTGAGAAGAGGGGAGTGAGAAAAGATGACCAAAAGCATCCTCCATCTTTTGTACTGAAACAAGAACGTGGGGAGCAAAGAGCGTGTGATTTGTGGCCAGGAAGAGTGCAGCCATGGGGAAGCTTCATTTTGTTGCCTGGCAATTAAAGAAAACCTGCCTTCCCATCCTGTTTCTTTATCCAATTATTGTAGAATGTAAAATGAATGAACTCTCATGGGAGGAGAGACCACAATCAGGTCTTTCCTCTTTCAGCTAGCTGTCCTACCTGCTGGGGAAGAGTGTGAAAGTTGTGGATTTGCCTTCCCTCAGGCTAAGAGAGGAATTGAATTTGGGATCTCCCTTGTTTTGCATGACTGCTTTACAGTGTGGGCTAGTTGCAAAAGGTGTGTGCTACCACTGTTTCCACTTGTTCTTCCTCCCGTGGTTTATAGTGATCCCAGTGTTGTCTTAATGGGTTAGATGTGCTGCGAGCACAGCTGCCTGCTCAGGGGCAGCCTAAAGCCTGTTTGTGTCTGTAGCCTGGGTTTGATTAAAGCACAGCTTCGCTGAGAAATGACAGGACACATCTATGTAGGCATGGGTGTCGCAGCTTGGGCACCCAAGCGCTCGGCAGGTGAGCTGCATATTAAAAGGTGCAATGGTGTCATTCATTTTCCCCAACATTGGACACTTCTAAGATTCAGCTGGACGGCGTGCTGGGCCATCTTGTCTAGACCATGCTTTTGCCAAGAAAGGTTGGACCAGCTGATCCTTGAGGTCCCTTCCAACCTGGTATTCTATGATTCTATGATTACAATGTTTAAGGAGAGAAATTTTGTATGAAGTCTAAGCTGGTAGGTTTAGGTTCTTTGACAGCGGCTGGAGAAATGTCATCCTCTCGCTTCTAGGATGCGATGCCTATCTATCTTGGGTGACGGATGACTTCTTCGAACTAGCCACAACTTTGACACAGTTACATTAGGCAGGGTGGACGTCTTACCATTGACTGGAACAAAGATGTCACTGGAGATGAAGGATATGAATTCTCGGAGTCAATTGCCTCTCGATAGAGCCTCCTAATGAACATCTCCAAGCATTTCCTGGCAGTCATTCCTAGTACACACTGGTGGTTTTGGTTGTGACGTGTGACATCATTAACGTAAGGTTTTGCTCTGCTTTTATTCCAGGTTGTCAGAGCTGCAGAAGAAGCTGCTTCCACCCTGGCGAGTTCCATCCACCCTGAGCAATGCATCAAGGTGCTTTGCCCCATCATTCAGACTGCAGATTATCCAATTAACTTAGCTGCCATCAAAATGCAGACGAAAGTCATCGAGAGGATTTCCAAGGAATCGTTGCATCAGCTCCTTCCCGATATCATTCCTGGGTTGTTACAGGTACAGAATCCCATGTCACAAATGCTCCTGAGCACAAACCACCATTAAGTAATTTGTGAGGTCTGTGACCTAAGAGAGAACGATGGACCCCCTGGGGCCAGATTTTGGTAAATTGAAGTTTTAATCCCTCTAAGTTTTTATATGTGAGCTTTTGATGTTTTTAATGTTAAGGAAAAGAAAACTCAGATTCCGCGTGTATGTTCCACAATTACATGCCTTGCTCTGATTCCTAAATAAGCTGGTAGCAGCCATGTAATAAATTTGAGAGCAGGAACTAGCCACATCTTATGCTGACTCAGTACATCCCAAGCAATACATCTTGCACTCTCCTTTAATTCCACTGAACAGTTCTATGCTTTGATTGTACTTTGCACTTGAATTTGAATCCCAGCAGGCAGGCTAGTCCTTTCCTCTTTTCTCTCTGAAATCAGGACCGAACTACTTGCTGACTTCATTCAGCCTCTTTCATAACCCTCGCAGGCAGGGTGGGGAGCTCTGCTTTTGCCAGTGCTAAGGCTCTGTCTTACATTGTGAGTTTAGCTTTCAGCGCTGGCTGTAGCAGTGTTGTCTTCTGTTCCCCTGCACAAGCAGCTGGCAGTGCCAACGGCTGGGATGAGGCTGCAAGCAAGAAGGAAATAAGGGGAGGTAGCAGCGAGGGCGGAGAGAGAATGTGTGTGTGTTTACTGGGGAGGGATTGCAACAGGAACAAATCAGTCAATGTGAAAGGGGAGACGTGTTTGGGTGGGTAAGACTTCAGTGGAGAACTGGGATAAAGAAGTTTGCATTGTGAGCATAAAAAGTTGGAAGGATAAGAGCAGAGTCAGAAATTCCCTTTGTGCATCCTAGCATTTGTCCCAGCTTTGTAGTGTCAGGTCTTGCAATTCTTTTCTTAAATCTCAACTTCTGGAAATCAGGCAATTCTGTATTGATCTAAACTTCTGTTGTAAAAAGTTTTTAGCCATAATTGTTGGAGACAACAGTCTGAACAGTGGAGCTTCAACGCACCAGAAAAGTTTGGGAGCAGCGTGCCTTTAAAAATGCAGTTATAGTTGTTTTATTAAATTGCTTCCATGTCTTAAAACGGATTTGGTTTAAGGAGCCTAGTTTGCCATTTTTCATCTTGGAGCTGCCAGTGATCATAGTGATCAAAGGAATCTACTCCTCATGTTTTGGGAAGTATTTTGGGATCCTTCTGGCTGAAGGACTGTGTGAGGAGGGAATCACCTGTGTGATTACAAGGGTATCGGCAGAGCGGTAAAGAGGCAAGGAGCGTTGGACAGCAGCAGCATGAGCACAAGTGTGTAGCTTAGCAGCCTGGATCGGGATCCCCATGAGCAGATGGGAATCTCCCTGCGAGAACAGGGCTTGGCTGGGGAAAGTCGTGGTGCTTGCCCTGGTCCTGATGTGGAGCCCTGGCTCCCTCGGAGCCAGGAGGATAGAGCTGGGCCACGAGGCACTCTCCCATCGCTGTGTCTCAATACCCTCAGGCTGAAGAGAGCTTTGAGCCCATGTCATCTCCTGAGCGAACGGTCTAACTGTTGGGCTGTGTTATTAAACGCTGGGAGAAGAAGCAGCCGCTGCCTTGCAAGGAAGTTGGCAGATGGAGAGGTGGAGTGACGGTCCCGCTGGTACATAAGGGACAGGCTCTACCAGCCCAGCGCCCACTTGGACACAGTCCTCTCAGGCCTCAACACCGCATGGATCTGCCTGCCTCCACGGGAGCAATTTGGGATGCACACATGAGCAAAATGCCAAGCCCATAGGGAAACTTGAGCTCAAGCGGAGTCACCTGGTGAGTTCAGGAGCCTTTGGATTGGGACCCACAGGGAGAGCCCTGCATCCTAGCAGTTCTCCTAGCAGTGGGTTGTGTCTCCATGGGCGTTCCTCAGCCTTTTTTCCACCTCAGTCCTCAATAGCTTGATGTTTCTCTGGACTCACCTAGGTCCCCTGCTTTTCTAGTTCAGTGCTCTTTGGGATTGCAAACTGTCATTTCAGACTGTATTTTGGCCCTGCAGCTAGAATGTCAGTCCTGCTAGCAGGCAGCCTGGCAGCCCCAGCCGTGCCGCATCCCTCCTCCTGGCTTTCCCGGCAGAGGTCACCCTGCATCCGAAGGAGCCCGCGTCCCACAGACTGAAGTGATGATGTCTGTGTTTCTCATGGGATGGCTGCTTAGTGATGAATCACTGTCTGAGTACAGGACTGATGTTACCAGCTGCTGAGTGACCTGGTGGCTAGTTCGAGCTCTCCTGAAGCTGCCAGAGATCCACCACACCTACAGGGGTCTTTAAACATGTTTTTTTCTGTGGTATTTCCTACCTGATAAGTAATCAAAAAGCTTCAGGTTACAGAGGCAGTTCATGTAATGGACTAGTACATGTGTTATACACAGTATTTAAGGCCAGTGCTTTTAAAGAGTTGGAAAACATCCATGATGACTCTGATTTTTGCAGTTTCTAATGCCTGGATAGAGCTATTCTGTCCAAATAGATATTTGGGTAGAATATCTGTTCACAAAATAGGATTCTGGCTTTTGTGTCCTGAGTGATATAACCGTTAGGCCATTTTGCTGCAAAATTCATCTCCGTTTATAACTTCGCTCTCAGGAGCAGAATTGGTTTCCTTTGAGTTAGATTTGGGTCAGGAAGGACTTCTCTGAAGGCAAGCTGGGAGCATGAGGGCTCCCCTCTAAGAAGTCCTGACCAACCAGGATAGCACATAGTTATCTGAACTGGACAGAGGAATGTGTATATTTGATAGAGTCCTAAGCTCATGTTGGGAAACTATGTGTTGTTACTTAATGCTATAAATAACAGGATATTAATAACTTGTAACATGATAGTAATAACTAATAATACAAGGAATAAATAACATGTACTGGGTGATTGTATTCTCTTGCTCTTTGAGTATTCAGGTTGCAAACAGTTATGTTAAGCAGGGCCTTTGTGTTTATCTGTTAGGTCAGCCACATTTGCAAAATGTTCATCAGCTCTTTAGTATATTGCTCTGGAAGGATGTTGGTGAGTGCTGTTTGACTTCTGACCTTTTTTTTTCTTGTTTCCTAGGGTTATGATAATACAGAGAGCAGTGTCCGTAAAGCTAGCGTGTTTTGCCTAGTGGCAATTTATTCAGTAATTGGAGAAGAACTGAAACCTCATCTCGCACAACTCACAGGAAGCAAGGTACAAGAGTAATGTGTCTCTGGTGTTTTGATAATAGCCAGCTGAATGGCTTGCACTAACTAGCAGCAAGACCAGTGGCTTCACGGTAGCTCTGGGTCAAGTTCCCTGTACTCTGTTAAATCCTGTCTCACCCTGCCAAACACCACTAGAACAGCACAGCACTTGTGAGCAGTGTGAGCATTTGAAATCCCACTTATCAAGTTTTGATGGGGTTCGGGGATCGGTTTCATGATGCGTTTGATGCTGTGTAACTGCAAGCTGCCACCGAGTGGGTCCTTCTCACTGCAGCCATGTTTACCTTGCCCCTTCGGCGTTGCATCCAGGGGTGACCGTGCAGTGAGCTGGATCAGCTGAAAACCAGATCTGCAGTACAAACTAATTAGTTTTCAGTCCGCTCTGTGGCTGCACAGGTAATCTAGTGCAAAGTGTGTTGGGAATGCATGGCTGGGATGGGTGGGAGAGCAGGTCCTCTCAGCAGCAGGGTGTGATTAGGGCTGGTAGAAATGCAGGTAAAGCTTCACTCTTAATAGCATGGCAGATGGGTCCCTTTCCTCCTGGGACACCAGCAAGCTCAAGTGACACTTCAAAGGATTTTGTGCCATGGAGTCAGATTAACAGCAAAACTCAAATTGTGACCTGATGCTGCAAGGGAAATCAAGTCCTTAATTCAGCTCTGTCCTTCAGCCAAGAGCTGGCATTTTGTGTTGAGGCGGGTGGCGTTTGCTTGCTTTTCAGAGCTGCTTAGGAAGCCATCACAAGATTTCTTCTCCTGTTTGAAGTTATCGTACCTGAGATTTCTCTGCAATTTTAAGATGAATTCTGCATTTTTGTTTCTGAAATAGATCTCTGCATGTGAATAGCTACTTAGTTCAGAAGGCTTCGTTCTGCTATTTTGAAGCAATAGTTTCTTTTGTGGGTAGGAAGTGTGGTGCAGGCCAAAACAACCTGAGGCTGATGGCACTTGGATTTTATTTCTGAATTGAGTTACTTTGTCCTTAAACAAATTACTTGTGCCTCCAAATTGCTCTGGAAAGAGACAGCTATGGGTGCTGAGGTTTACCTCATTATATTTGGGCAGTTAGGAAATCCCCCTATAAAATGTTGTAGAGGCTTTATTATCCCAGTATCCTAGGTGCCACAGGCTTACTCCACCACACAACTAACTATAAACATGTGAGTAATTCTTCTGGGTTTACGCAGACTGCCTGCATGTTTAAAGTTAAACGTGTGCATGAGTCATTGCAGGATCTGGAGCTAAGGTGGTAAGGCAGAAACAGAAAACAAACCCGTGCGAAGGAAGCATATAGTCACAACAGCTGCAGTTTCACTGGATGTACCAAGTTAGTGAAGATATTTAAATGTCATTGAAAATGAACATTTTATAAAGCATGGAGAGATTGTTCAGGAGGTTTCCTAGGAGAGACCATGGCTATTGGATCGCCGGTGTGCCTGCAGCCCCACTGACCTCTGTGGGAATCCTGCTTGCTCAGAGCAGGCTGCAGGATTGAGGTCTGTGAACTGATGGCTGCTGAAGTGAAATGCAAGAGGTTTTTGTAAATCCCATTAAATCTGTAACGTCAGTGAGACTAGGCATACTCTCCTGCCTCTGTCTGTTCTGAAATACGCTCAGCTTTGCTTCTGCTTTTCCTCCAGAGAGCTCAGTGTCAGCTCACTCAAAACCAAGTTCACCGCAGAATGCGAGTTTTAAGATTTGCAGTTGACTTTTGTCCGCCTGTTTTTCCTGGCATCTTCTCCTGATGTATGTGTGTTTCTTTCAGATGAAGCTACTAAACTTGTACATAAAGAGGGCCCAGACCACCAACAGCAACAGCAGTTCCTCTTCAGATGTTTCAACGCACAGTTAATGGAGATATGTGGACATATGTGTAGACTTAGAAGCAATCAACGGTGCCTCTCAGAGACCTTTCTGCTACTCTTCACTGGCGCGCTCCATCAGCTCAAGGAGGCCATGCAGATATTTATTGCAATCAGTATTTTAGTCCCTTAAAAGCTTTTATGTAGAATTTTACTGGTATTGAATGTAAAGGAAGCAAGGTCTGTGTTGCAGTCTTCATTAAAAGTGAACAACAGAAAGCCATACTTAAACATATTTGTATAGCCTGCTGAAATCTCGGAAATATGTTTAGGTTAGTGTTCCAGAACAGTCCAAGAACGTGGACACGCATAAAGGTCAAACAAATCTTGTTGGCTTAGTTCATACCCAGTTTTGGTTTCTATGTGCTAGTTACCCGCTCTCTCCCCGTGGCCGCAGCCATTCTGGCTAGGTTCTCCTCTTCTTACAAGTCTTGTGGTCCTGTTTTGTACTCCCTGTTGCAGCTTGCCTAACATGCAGGGCTCTCCGTGGGGAGATCTTTGCAGATGTGGCTGTGATTCCAGCCTCAGATGCTTTAATACTGAGAGATATCAAGTGAGTAATGAAAAAGTAGGTTCTTTTTAAACATCTGAGATTTTGTACATAGTTCTTCTGACAGACCTCCGATGGGCTGATTTCTCTGTAACTGCTCTCCAGCCAGCTGTGCTGTGCAGAACAGCTGGGCTCTTGCTCCTTTCATTGACTGTGTAAATATTTCCCCCCTCCCAATCCATTCGGCTCTTTCATATACTCAAAAGACTCTCCAGATTACTTGTTATTCCCCAAAGGGAACCTGAGACCCAGTTCTGGGAGTGATGCCTGCGATGGGACACCAGAATGAGGTGGGTGGGTGTTGGGTTAGGCTCTGAGTGCATCTGTGGGTGAGCAGTGGGAGCTGGCAGGGCTGTATCTCAGTGCTGCCTTGTGAGGCTAGCTGCATTTTTCTTGAAGTCTGTAGCGTCGAAGGGCTGATCTGCTGCTCTGACCTGACCCACTGGTGTTGGGTGGTGAATGGCTTTGTCCCCACAACTCCTTCGTGCTTTGGGCAAAATGTTCATCCCAGAGAACAGAAAGGGCATCTGAAACTGAACAAAAAGACCCCATGGAAGCACCTGCTGGGCCAGCTGGGACAGTGCTGGTGGCCTGCCGCAGCTCCCCTCCTGTGCCTGAAGAGCCTGCAGCGCTGTTAGCTGCCTTTAGAAACCTCCTTCGTCCTGGCCAGCCCCACGCACAGCCCTGCTGGGTGCTCTGCAGTTTGGAGGGGTGCAGAGGGCCCTCGCTGTGCACTGCTGTCAGCAGGGTGCTGCGGGTGAGGGTGCAGCAGGGCAAATCCAATGACACAGACCAAGTCAGAGCCAAACCAGCAGTGGTCAAATACCCCACAGCACCACCCTTGCCCAAAGGGAGACACTCCTGTTTGCAGAGGGTGAGCTCCCCCTGCCTCTGCCTGTAACGAGGGGAAGCAGGAGGATGCTAGTGCTGTGTTTGGCCCTGGGCTGATTCCTGGCTGACGGGCATGCCCACCCCAAACCTGCAATGGATCAGAACTGGGTTTTTGCCCCCAGTACCAGCAATGCAAGAGGATGGTGGACCTGCAGCTCACGGCTGCAGCTGTGGTGATGGATGTGTGCTCCCTGGCTGCTCTCAGTGCCTTGGTCTCTCTCCAGCCTCTTCCGTTTCCCCTTTGGAGAGCTGAAGGGACACCTTGGTAGCCTACTGAGAACATGAGAGTTTCCAGTACTGCAGCAGGGGAGCACAGTGGGGAGGGTAAAGCCCCGTAGCCCTCCCTTTCCATCAGGGCATCCCTCTGTGTCTCAGCCCCAGCCCTGAGGAGCTGTGCTGGGAGCTCCCCTCCCAATGCCCAGCTCAGGAGGGGTTGGGGCTGGTGAGGACTGTGCAGGATTGGGCTGCAAAGCTTGTCGGTCGCTTTCCCTCCTGATGTGAGAGCGAAGGAAGTCACCTGCTCCTGAGTTTGTCAGGACGTGCCAGGCTTCTGCTGGCTGCAGGACTAGTTCCCTCATCTTTCCCAATGAGTAATCCCATGGCAGGAGAAACCATGCTATCCTGGTGGGTGGGATTCCCCTAGGGTCTTTCCGCAGGCTCAGAAAAGCCATCCTCACTAGAAGGAGGATTGGCTGCTCCATGGACCATTCCTTTTCAACATCTTTCAGTATGCTTGTTAGAATTTTTTTTTTTTAATTTTTTGAATTATTCAAATTATTTTAGCTTAAAAAAATTTATTTTCCCTTTTGAGGAAATATTCAGCCGACCTGTTGGCAGCAGTTAGCTGTCTTGTTTGAGTTTTTAGTAGTGGGTTTGGTTTTTTGTTGGTTTTTTCCTTTTTTTTAATTTGTACTCTAACCGCTTAGTATTTATGCCTCTCTTTCTGCCCATCTCAGTTCAGTATCTTCTGTTCCAGTTGTGGGGTTCAGAAGGTCAGCATAGCTGACCAGATGACGCTTAGTCCCTCCCAGCTGTGATGGAGCTTGGTCCATCACCGTTTGCTGTTTGTTTGTTGATTTTTTTTTTTTTTTTTTTGTATGGCACACTGTAGCAAATCTCCAGGAATTGAATTCCTTCTCAAATGATTTTATATATTTTATAAAATCCTGTTAGTATGCACTGAGAGTGAACGCACTGTAACGTCCCTGAACTGACCCTAGCGCGCGCGCTGACACTACGGTAGGAGTTAACAGCTCGTCCTTCAACAGACGCCTGCAACCTGCTGCGACTCCAGCAGCGAGCCTGTGTTTTCCGATACTATTGGCACACTTGGGGCTGCAAGTGGTAGAACCAGGCCTTACTTTCTGAATCAGATTCTGTTCTGTTTGTCAACAGATGCTCATTAACGTGCTACTTAATTTCGTTACGTGAGTCAGTCGAGGACTGTTCATCCTTTGAGTACTCTAGAAGTATGTTATACCTGCATACAGTAGAGAGCATTCTGCTTAGGTATTTATAAATCATTGCGTATAATGTACATAGTAAGGTTGTTTAGTATGTTGAACATGACCTGATTTTTTTTTTTTTTTTGTGTTTCCTTTGAAGTACTCAAAGGGCTAGCTCTGAATGTCACCTCTCTGATCTCCGGTGTTCTGACTTCAACAAGCTGTACAATCATTTTGTTTTCTATTCAGCAAGCATAAAGGTCTCTCTGGCTACAAATCACAGCGTCCACGCATGCTTGCAGAGAAAGATCTGCATGCTGGCAGTGCCTCACCGCACCGGTGAAGCTTGTGTTCACGTTCTCCTGGCAGTAGCCACCTACTGCAACTGCCTTTTACTTTTTTTTCTTGCTGCCCATTATGCAGGGCTTCAATTTTTCATACCTTTAAAAAAAAAAAAAAAAGGAAAAAAAAAAAAAAGGAAAAAAGTGTATTTGATTTGCCCACCATGCTTTAAAAGTCTGAATGGGAGAAAACTCTCAGCAGACAGCGGCTCCTGGCTGCAAGGTTGCCGAAATCTCAGATGTGGATGTTTTTTCTGCCATTGGCTGCACCCGTGCTCCGTGGCCATGGGCAAATACCGGATCCATCCGCCCCACAGGTCTACGTACTGTAGTTCTCATGTAGTGCAGAAATATCGAGGCATGTGGCTTTCTTAAGGTACACTATGTGTGCTTGCCTGGATTACAATACAATACGAGACTGTCTTTTTTATTGCTTATTACTAGCTTACCAATAACCTGTATAAGTAACGTAACTCGCATCTTTGTCATCAAAACCTTTTCTCCCCACCCCTTTATTTATCAAGCATAATATTACATATTAAGGGACAGAAAAATAGACCTTCGTAGAATACAGCAGGACGTTGCTAACAATGTTTTAAACGGGAAGTAAAAACTGCTCTGAAAAATGCCAGCCATGAGAAATGACTTTGTTGGCACCGTGTTCATGCGCATGTATTTTTTTCTATTTTTTCCGCTTTTGTCATGTTACATCCATATCTGTATTTATATCTTATTTGTTTCACTTTTGAGTGTATCATGGCAATTGTACAGATGTTTTTTGTTAACATTTATGTGATAGAATTTGCTAAAAAAAAAAAAATTAAAATAAAACCTTTTGAGTTTGCCCTAGAATAAGTGGAAGTTGGATTTCTTTTTGGGGGAGAAATATTAAAGTAGATTCATTATCCAGCACAGCTCCTCGCTCTAGCAGCCTTTGCTTGTAAAGGATTTGCTCTTATTCCTGCCCTGGCTGCTGTGTTTTCATGTCTTAATTAGAGGGTGCATGGTGGTCTGGCTGTTTCCTACAGGCACCAGTCTGAGTGGCAGTGGGGCCAGCGGGCAGCTGATCTTTTGGGGTGCTGGTCTTTGCTGTCAGCTTTTAAAAGCTTTAGGGAAATCATGGGTTTAGGATGTTCTTGTGACATTACGAACTAGAGAGCCATATGCTCTTTGCAAATTGATGGTCTAGTGCAAAGTCACATAACTCAAGGAGCGAGGGCTTCACAAGATGCCTGTGTTATGAGGCTTGTTAAGAGAATTGCAGAGGTTTTAAAATATGTGGCAGTAGAAATTTGGCTGATGAAGTGTTTGGGAAGGTGATGAGGAGCTGGGAACTGCACAAGTCTCTCTGCCTGGTACCAAAACACAAAGAACGTGAATTTGAAGTGGCTGAGGAGCCCGAAAGCTCAAGCGCTTGTGTGTTATCCTGGGGGAATAATAGCCCATTGCAATTTAAAGACCTGTAGTGAAGCTGTGCTCTACGCTAGGGAAACGGATCCCCTAAGGTATGACTTTTACCTTGATGCTATGTGTTTAGCATCAAGGTAAAAGGTCCTCAGATACCTTGTGGTGGGTGCAAGGGAGTCAGGAGAGCAGGGGAGGTTCAGATTCCCTGTGGGAGGCTTTTGGTGTAAACGTTCCCAGACAGAGGAGTACATGGAGAGTGTTACGGTGGGTGAGCACCAGCATTCTGGACACGGTGGTTCTGGCCATTCTGCATAAGGCACTGCTAGTTAAACTATCCTCTCTCTCTCCTCCTGCAAGAGGATTATTTTATCTGCCCTTTTTACTCTCCAGCTAGTTACTGAGCTAGAACAAGTTGGACAATTTTTTGGGGAAGTTTTAGACAAGCGATAGTTTCGTTTAGCTGCAGACCCTTCACAGCATCAGCAGCCTCGCTGGTGTCTCCTTTGCCCTGGCGCTCCTGGCTGCCACCAAGCCCTGCCCGTGCCAGCCCAGGGACCCTTCTGCATCAAGATTCAGGGGCCCGGCTGGGAGTGAGGAGCTGCGATCGCTCTCCCTGCTGCAGATGGACCATCTCACCCCTGCGGTGGCAGGGTCTTTTTTGACTCTGCTGCATGTACGAGGGAAGGTCCAGCCTCGCCCACTGACCCTGGATTCTTCCCAGAGCACTTCCCACGTGTTTTTTCTCAAGCAGTGCCAGGTACCTGTGGTTATAAGAAAGGGAACAGAGAATGAATAGAGCACTATCTTGTCTGTGCCTTATAAAACTCCAGCTGCTGGCCTAAATTAGCCTTACAGCCCTAAGGGGTTTGGAAAAGCTCTGAAGTCTGAGGCATTGCAAATGTGGTACTAGACAACCCGAGCTGGGGAGCTGGATTTCACTGACACGTGCTTAAAGTGGTCAGCCCTTGCAAAACCCTTTGTGGGGGCCGAGGAGAGGGACATCCCGCAGATGCAGAAATAGGTCATTCTGTACAACACTCATGCAGAGGGCTGCTTGTGTGGCTGGAGGTCTCCTTTCCCTCTGGAGCACCAGGCAGCAAGGGTTGGACCAGAGGAGGCTGGTTGTTGGCCTACTCCATCTCCAGAGAGCACCTCTCCGTACCCTGTGACTGGGTTTTACCAAACCTTCGTGCTGTTTCTCAAGTTATGAAGAACGAAGGCCAAAATGGAGCTGCAGCTG